TATATGTATACAATTAATTTATTATATTTAAATTATAACATAATTGATCATAATAATGTTTTTTAATATATTTCAAACATGAGATATTTTGACGGTTAATGGATGGTTAATTCATGTCAGATAGAGTAATCCCAAGAAACAATATTAATTATTACTGAAAACTGTATAAACGCTGATAATGAAGCCAATGTAAATACAAATATGACATTTCTAACGACTCGGCACATGCCTTTGAACCTGATGTTTCTAGGTTGTTGTTTTTGTTTTGTTTTTTCTTCTTAATTATTATTATTTAATTTTTTTATTATTTTTCTTCAGGACTGATGTGGCTGAAGGTTTTTTTTTTTAGATCTTGAGCCACAGTTGATATTTATTGTGTCTTGTGATGCGCAAGAAAAATAATCAAGTAGCAACAGAGATCTATAAATAACCTCAGCGCTCAGCCCCCATTTTCTAGGAAGGACTTTTATTTTGAAACACACGCACATCCTCTGACCAAATGCCCCGTTGAGCGGTCGGGCCTATTTAGGGCTTTCTAAAGTTAGAATTAAAATCGTTGGGACTGATCAAAAACATGGGCGTTTAGCGACAAACAGTCTTAATTACTGGATGGATGTCTGTGAGCTCCACTAAGTAGGTTTTGTGTGGTCGCAGAGCGCACTCGTCGTTTTCGCGGCCGTTGCGGAGGGGATTGTTATGACATTATTCTCTTTGTCTCGCGCTGCACGAACCAGAGACCGTCTTTCCTGCTGAAAGAGCCCTTTTCACCGATCGGTGCAAATCTAGGTATTCTTAACGACCCCATTCTAACTGGTTCTCACCGATCCGATCGAGGAACTGAAACATGTCGTTGCACGGTAAACGAAAAGAGATCTACAAGTACGAGGCGCCATGGACCGTCTATGCCATGAACTGGAGCGTCAGACCCGACAAGCGCTTTCGGCTGGCGCTCGGCAGCTTCGTCGAGGAGTATAACAACAAGGTAAACAGCTGTGCGACTTTGTTTTGTGTTCCTATGCCTGCTGTCAACCTGGCATATAAAGAAGTATGCTTGAAAATGTAAAGTAACATGTTAGATGCTGATGAACGATGTTCAGTAATAGAGTGTTGGTCATAGATGTCATCCGTAGAGTTTGAATACACAAATGTATTACTCTGTAGTGTGTTGCTGTATTACTTGTTATTTGTGTCTTGCAGGGATTAAAGTGTTCCGTCCGTCCATAAAGACAGTCACTTGCTTCATTCCTGAATAATTCAGCCGTTCGAACGAATCAATTGAATGAATGATTCAGCCGTTCGAACGAATCAATTGAATGAATGATTCAGCCGTTCGAACGAATCAATTGAATGAATGATTCAGCCGTTCGAACGAATCAATTGAATGAATGATTCAGCCGTTCGAACGAATCAATTGAATTAATGATTCAGCCGTTCGAACGAATCAATTGAATTAATGATTCAGTTATAAACTCAGTGACTCAGTGATTTAGTTTAATTTTTATCTTATATTTTTAGTCAGGAGCGCTTGTCCTCCTAATTAAAACAATTTAGGAGCACCTTCTGGGCCCGTATTCACAAAACATCTTAAGGCTATAAGTAGCTCATAACTCGCCAATTTAGGAGAAAATCTTAAAAATAATGGGCGTGTCAGTCCTATTTCACAAAGTGTCTTAGCTCTAAAACTAGCTCCTAAATCTGTGAAACGTTAGGAGTAGTGAAGAGGACTCCTAAGTCACTAAGACCAAATCTGAACTATCCTAAAATGGCTGTTGCCAGCAATCTACCTCGGAATATAAACATTTTAGAAGCATTTGACGATAATGAGCTTTTAAAAAGGTATCTGCTTTGGTTTGGAGGTTATCCCAACTCCACATTTTTGATTATATCCTTAATATATAGCTGTTCTCGCGTCCAGTTTGGTTTTCTTTTATGGTTGCATGTCTTACTATCACCCATGATTATTCTACTCTGCTAATTAAAAGGCTGTTTATATGCATATTACCAAAATGTTATTAGTTGCTTAGTCGCAGAAAAAAAAATCTCCATGAAGTGGCGAAATCACACAGTCCGTGACGGACAAATCGTTAACGGCTGGTCCATGTGGTAATATAGAACATCGGGCAGGGCATCCATATACTCTCCTAAGTCCTAACATTCATCGACCTCAAATATGGCTTATCATCTGAAAAATGTACGTAGTAGCAACTTTTCAAGGCAGCTCAATCTAATGTAAGCCTAGAAAAAAGTGCGCTGTTCACATGTTTGTGTGGAGTGTGGAAGCTGAACAGTAGCGCGCTTGGGCTACTGCATGACAGATGGAGGCGCCGGTGCCATCATTGGCTCTTAAAATACTTTTGTCATTTTTGGTCATACAGATAAGAATAATACATCTTTTGTACCTGTAAAGACTACGTTTATTCGTGTGCACTCAGAATAATAACGAAATGTTGCGCTTTTGTTAAATAATGAAAGGAAACAGGATGCACTTTCTGCCGTCTCAGACTCCGTCTCAGAAAATATATCTATAGACAGTGAGACTTTTAAAAGAAAAAAATTCAAATAGAAAACAAATATTCTCAGATTATGTAATCTGTATGAAACATGCATACAGGCGCATACTGCGGAGATGACGAGTCAGTGTCGCCGACTTCATCTCTTAAACCGAAAACAGAGAGCACTAGTGTAACAATAAATTATTAAAACGTTAATGCAGTGTACTTGCTGTTTTAACACATTCATAATCATTATATTTGCCAGTGCGCTGTGGCAAGCCTTTTTTTGAGTGCGCTTATTAGGCTATGTAGGCAATTAAGGCTCATTTATATGGTTTATTAATAAAAGTGCAACTAATCGTCGACTAATGCTTAAAATGAACGACTACTAGTCGACCAGAAAAATCTTTATTCGAGGGCAGCCCTAATGCATATTGACTAATAGAGGCTGACAATTAGCTGAATAGACTACTTGTTTAATTAGGGACACTTAGCCTGCATTGTAAAATCTTTATTTGAATGTGGCAATTAACATTTTTATTTTTAAACCTTTATTTGAATATGGCAACATAATATTGCGCTCTACAATATTTCTATGAATAAATCTCTGACAGAGACTATCAGCCAATCACTGTGTGCATAGTTAGTGCATGCTGACGTCATCTATAGCAACGAGGTCAACCCCCGCCCCCTTACTCTTAGCTTAAGACTTCTGTCTATTCCTTCTGTCTAAAGTTTGTCTCAGCTGCTTTGTGAATAGGTTTTAAGAGAAAACTCTTAGCTAAAAACTTTTACTGCTATTTAGGAGAACTCTTAGTGGTAAGATAAAATGTTTTGTGAATATGGGCCCTGATCAATAATCAAAAATTCTGATAAAAAATTAGCCTTCCTAATACGATGTGAAATTTGACTCCTTAAAGTGACTTACAGGAGTATTTTCTTTTTACCTTTATAATGGCATCATTTTCATGTCAAATTCAAAAATGTATGTTTATAATCTTTTAAAAATTTATATTTAAAACAATATAATAAGAAGTAGAATAAGACAAATAAGTTGCCAATCATATGAAATTAGTATTAATAAATTAATTTCTACTACAGAGGTGGCACAGAAGAACACAAAAGTGGCTTGTAGGTACATTTCCAGACGTTTAATGAGGCTCAGAGGTGGCATGAGTGCAATTAAATTAATAAATTCATGTGGAGATTGTTTTAAATATAACATTTTGAATACAGAAATATGAAATGATTTAAACAACTAAAATAATACGCTAAAAATGAAACTAAATAAGCCAGCAGGTGGCGGCCAGTCACTGATTTGATCACTGAATCATTCATTCAATTGATTTGTTCGAAAGGCTGACTCATTCAGGAATGAAGCAAGTCACTGTCTTTAAGAACTGACGAAAATCCGTCATAGCGACGGAACACTTTAATCCCGGTGTCTTGTTTGTGGATAATAGTTTGACAGCTGTCAGAAAGTCATCACCTTTGTGGATCCAGGAGATGGACATTGTTACATCAGCTGTTTGTTTGTTTGTGATGTTCAGGTCCAGCTGGTGGGTCTTGAGGAGGAAAGCTCAGAGTTTGTATGCAGGAATACTTTCGATCATCCGTACCCCACCACCAAGATCATGTGGATCCCTGACACCAAGGGTGTCTATCCAGACCTGCTGGCCACCAGTGGAGACTACCTGCGCATTTGGAGGGTACGTACACTTTCTATTGCGCATCAGACTGTATTCATGCTTGACTGCACTGCACAAGACAACATGAGATGAAAATTGACCGTATGTACTTCTTAATGTACGTCCTTGGTCTTACTGTGAACATTCGTCGGTGCATTCCATAAAAAACGAAATGTATCAGTTTTATTCAAACGTAATAACTTGATTAAATGCTTAATATGCTGTTCCTCTGATGTGGTTTTCTTTTTCCACTCATGTCACTTGTTAACCAATAGCTATTTAGGCATTTTCATGGAAAGCTTTTGTTCGGTCTGGCTTGATTGAATCCTTCTGTAACTGATTTCATATTGAAATTTCTCTACTTTTCAAATAAATGTGCACTTGACAATAGTTAACACTAAGATCAAGAATGTGTGTTAAGAAAGTTAATAGGGTAAATTTTGATGTAACTTTAAATGATTAGGGACTCTCTAGCTTTAATACTGTGACAGAACTGTAGAAACACAAACTCGGTAGTATAAATGGAGTAAGTGAACTGTATGTATCTTGTTGTCAGGTGAACGACACAGAGACCCGTCTGGAGTGTCTCCTGAATAATAACAAGAACTCTGATTTCTGTGCACCTCTGACCTCTTTTGACTGGAATGAAGTGGACCCCAATCTTCTGGGTGAGAGCCAATGCAGTCAGCCTGTTTCTCTGGCAGTGTTGTGATTGTTAACTAACGCTATTTAAATAAATATATTTGAATTAATGGAAAATGTGTAAAACACAAAATCGCCAATTTGAAATCCTTGTACTTAAAGAAATTCGAAATGTTACTTTTGCATTTTGGTTAATTGAAATAAAAAAAAAATTAAAAACTAGGAATGTTGTCTTGGCAATGGTAAGATTATTTTGAAATGCTAAATTTACTAAAACTGATCATATAAAAATAGAAGCTAATTTTAATTTAAAGAAATGATATAAACCTGATCATATAAAAATAGAAGCTAATTTAAAATAGTAGTAACATAAGAATATTGCTAAAATAACACTTGTTTGAAAGAAAAATGTATGTTACACATTTGTGTGTTTGCCTCTCAAAAGATCATCAGGGTTTTCATGCATGTGTATTTTCTGTTTTTCAGGCACTTCTAGTATTGATACCACCTGCACGATCTGGGGTTTAGAGACAGGACAGGTCCTGGGAAGGGTCAACCTGGTGTCAGGCCATGTCAAAACACAGCTAATTGCTCACGACAAGGAGGTAAGGAAAAACTCACCCTAGTACTTCAGGTTCTTCAGAATTGTGTAGCTTGTAGAGTTCTCTTTTCATTGGCTTTCAGGTGTATGATATCGCATTCAGCCGTGCGGGTGGCGGTCGGGATATGTTTGCGTCTGTGGGAGCAGACGGATCCGTGCGCATGTTTGATCTGCGGCACCTGGAGCACAGCACCATCATCTATGAGGACCCTCAACATCACCCGTTGCTGCGCCTGTGCTGGAACAAACAGGACCCCAACTACCTGGCCACTATGGCCATGGATGGCATGGAGGTCTCTCTTTTAGTTCCTTTTACTGTATTAGCATATTTGTCCTCTTTCCTCATGTCCCTTGCTTTTTGCTATCTAATGTTTTATTTGTGTCAGGTGGTGATTCTGGATGTGCGTGTGCCGTGCACACCAGTGGCTCGTCTCAATAATCATCGTGCCTGTGTGAACGGCATTGCCTGGGCGCCCCACTCCTCTTGTCACATATGTACAGCAGGTTAGAAACCAGCCCGGTTAAATACACACACACACAAACACAACAATTAATGCTTTTATTTAGCTAAAATGCATTGAATTGATCAAATGAACTTACTGTTCATCAAAGATTTTATTTTATTTTTTACAAAAATTTTAGCAGAACAACTGTTTTCAACATTGATAATAATAAAAAACAGCAAACAACAAATCAGGATATTAGAATAATTGCTGAAGGATCATGTGACACTTTTCCATTTGTTAACGTTGTTAAAACATTTATTAATGTTAGTTAATGTAAATGTTCAAATTAACTAATATATTATTCAAATCAAACTTAACTTAATGTTATTCATCACATGCATTGTTTACACATGCAATAGTTTTGAATTCTTGACCGGTCTGATCGTGTCAGTTCTGTTTTCTTTGCGTCAGTATTAGACTATAACAGCAGTGACAGTGCTGTTTCATACAAGTCTTCTTTACCTGGCCCCCTTTTCTTTTAAATCCCACTGTAGCGGACGATCACCAGGCTCTGATCTGGGACATCCAGCAGATGCCGCGTGCCATCGAGGACCCCATCCTGGCCTACACGGCCGAGGGAGAGATCAATAACGTGCAGTGGGCCTCCACTCAGCCCGACTGGATTGCCATTTGCTACAACAACTGTCTGGAGATCCTGCGGGTGTAGAGCCGAGGCATAAATCGCCTCTGTGCTTCCTGTGGGCAGCATTGCTGGAAGAGAGTCATTCATGGAGCAGAGACTTGTTTTCTAAAGTTCCTGAGGTCTGGGGGATTCAAGTGGGAAACCATATTGAACGGGCCTATGGGAACAACAGTTTGAACAATGTGTGTGCAACGTTTGTCTGGGAGAATGAAGCTGTATGAATGAGTACCTGTGTTTCTGCACAATATATTATATTTGTCTGTTTTCCTACTTGCAGGTGTCCCAGAGTCCTCATAATGGGATCTTAAACACAACTGTAATTACTATGATTGTATGGCCATTTGTGTAGGGGGAGAGATGTGCGTTTATTCTGTTTGACCGGTAGAAAACTTTTTTGAAAACTAGGATCATAAAGATGCAAACTTGCCAACATGGACAAAGCAAAACTACCATTTTATTAAGATGTAATTGCTTACTTCAAAGATTAATAATTTTAAAGGTTCTCTGAAATTTAGATCCTGTTTTTCCATTTTAGGAAGGTGCCATTCTTTTGTATCCTTGGAAACTTCTAAATACCGGATAATATGGAGATAAAATGCTTGACGGCACTGCAAAACATTCATAATTGTTCCTCACAGACATGCTCACGACTCACATAACGGTTAGTTGCGTTGTTGACGTCAATGTTTGAGTGGACAATATCTTGGTCTTTTTCACTTCAAGATGCATTACTGAGAGTTCCTGCTATAACCATCCCCCCCCCCAATGTTGTTTTTCATTAAAAAAAAAGAAAAAGTTAGTCCCCTTTCAGCATGCTTGTGCTCGGAGTGAAATATGTACTGTATACATATATAAATATTATGTACAAGGTAGGACAAAAGTGTCACTTTTCCAGAATAACTTTGCATTGCGAGTCATTTGTTCGGTCCATGAAATTTTGTTGTTACACTAATGTAGTAGTAACGCCACTCTTTTCAGTCAAATCAAAAGTGAATTTGCAAGGCTGTGTGGGATGCTGATCCTCACCTCACACTCTTAGATGGAGTGTTTAAATGTAAGTAGTTCTGTGTGTGTCCAGCTATGATGCTTTTCTATTAATAAACTCACTTAAACTCTTGTTCTTTCATAAAGCTTTCTGTGTTAATTAATCATGGAAAGGCCAGTCAACTAATATTTAGGGATGTGCAATGTATCCGTACAAAACTGGTTATTGTTTAATAAAAACAATAATATTTGAGATTATTTTATTTGTTAGCTATTGAATATTTAATTCTGCATGCGCATTTTCTTTATTTTTGTTTCAATTAAATTTGCCATCTAATGCTCACTAAGTTTATTTTTTATATAACATTTAAATGTAGTCTTTTGCAAATATCTAAATGCATAAAAGCGTTTATTCAGTGATAGCATCACTCGTTATGAATGAAAACTAGCTAATATTAAAATCTATAGTATGAAAAATTACAATACATTTTAATATTAGCTAGTTTTCATTTATAACGAGTGATGCTATCGCTGAATAAAAACTATAATAGCATATAAAAATACTAAAATAACACTGCGTATAGTATTATAATAATTATAAGCTTGTATTTACCATTTTAGTATCTGCATCCCTAGTAAAACAAAAATGAAGAAAAAGACCACGAATATTGATATCTTAAACCCAGTGCAACATTAGTAGTCCTTTATAAATAACATTTAATCTAAATAATAATAATAATTGTGTGCTTTTGGAAACCGTTACAGTCTAATAAAGGTTTCCAATAATTTTACATACATTCATCTGCTTACATTGCAGAGGTAAAACAAACTTTACACCGATTTCAGCTCAAAAAGTGATTTACAAAAAAAACAGGCCTTCAGCTTTCTCCAATCAGAATGTCAAGACTGAATAGTTTTCTCTTTCAAATTCAGTGATCATATTTTCCAAAAGATCACACAGAAGTCTTCACACAGAGTTACACCATCCATCAGCAGTTAAAATAACCACTTCAGTGAGAAATATCATTTGATAACCCTGAATTCATGCCTATTTGGTTACTATAAATCCAAATATACAAACTTCATTTTTGTGTCAGTCATAATGTCATTTAATGTAGTAATGCATGAAATTTGAGTCAAACACCTAACCTGACACACACACACACACACAAAAACAAAAAAATATATTTATAATAGTATATAATTAGAAAATCTATACATTGAAAAGAAAATCTTGCACGTTTGCAATATCCGTACACACAAGCTATTCATTAAACACTGAAAGCTCAGGTATATATGTCATTTCCTCAGAGGATCCAACCTCTGAATCTCAGCTGACGCAAGAAGACAAGATGAGGTTTAGTATGTAATGACAAATCTCATACAGACAGACAAAAATGTATAATGTACATGATGGTGGCAGATGATCATACTCTTTGACCTTGTCTTTTATTGCTTCTCTTCATATTCAATAACACAAAAGTCGAGAGGTGTTACCAAATACTCTCGCATCAGAGGAAAAATTCCTGCTCTGAATGAGAAGGGATATGAGACAAAAAACCTCTGAGATTCAGAGAAGTCTGCAGTCACCGTTTTCTCTACTGGACGCCCCCCTTTAAACTAATGAGTAACATGAATATTGCAGAACTGTTTGAAAAGAGAAACCATGTTAGCGTCTCGGAACGGACAGTAGTCTGTTTTTGGCCTCTAGCTTCCAGGTAAGACTGGATTGGACACATGCCTCTGGATTTCTGGTGAACCCTCCAGCATTTTCGGACTCTCCAGACTGTCCGGGAGCGATGGGAAGCACAGGCTTCTACACAGCAGTCCTGGGGTCTGTGGATGAGGCTCTCTAGGGGGAATCAGTCCTGTGGGCACAGCCAGCTCTGTCTCTGGGGACATGGACATGGTGTCATTGGAGGCAACTGTTAGGTGGATCCCACTAGATAAAGAGTCTGGAGACTTCTCTTTGAAGCTGTCCAAGTCAGGGCTCTGTGGATAAAACAGGTCCAGTTCAATACAGACATGCAACATGCTCACTACAAAGATTTATCTAGCCAGCTGATCATGTAAGAACACAGAGATCAGTCTAACTGACGAGCATCTTACTTAGTGACAATCACTATGTTACCAATGTCCGTTTACTCGCCGCCATCTTGGTAACACTAGACTACTTGAGCATGAAAATTTGAAATATCCCAAAAAAATAAAATTATTCTCTACAAAACTCAGCAGGGGTTTTTATAGTGGGGCGTCTAGACTCTCAGGGGGCTGCAAGAAATTGCTAGGGGATCTACAGGAAATTGGAATGAAAATGCATTTTTTAATATATTTTTGTAATGTGTGTGTGTTTTTTTTATTTTTTAGAATTTTAATAAATGTGTGCATAATATTTACTAAATGTTATTATTGTTATACTGAATACTAATAGTATTTCTGTCAGAAATCATGAAATTATTATAATATGATATAATATAATATAAGTTATTCATTTTACCCTTCAGGTTTATAAATCTAACATATCTCTAATAGTGTATTAGTACATGTATATTTGAGTAATTTCCTTTAGCTTTAGTCAAACAAAAAAATCATTGTTGTGACTTTTATTCTGTTAAAAACCCAAACATTTGCATATAGTTTTGTGAAGAATAGAATAGAAATATGTAACATAGAAATATAATAAATATTTCTAAGTTTATCAAGTTACCCTTCAGGTTTATAATTTATTTGATTAATATGTGTATATTTTTTTATTTTTTGAAAAACAACGTGTTTATATTAACAATTGTCTTAGCCTGCTTAGTTCCCCTTGAAAAAGGATTGTCATATATTTGAAAGTGAAAGTGAAAGTGACGTGACATGTGGCCAAGTATGATGACCCATACTCAGAATTAGTGCTCTGCATTTAACCCATCCAAAGTGCACACACACAGCAGTGAACACACAAACCGTGAACACACACCCGGAGCAGTGGGCAGCCATTTTTTTGCTGCGGCGCCCGGGGAGCAGTTGGGGGTTCGGTGCCTTGCTCAAGGGCACCTCAGTCGTGGTATTGAAGGTGGGAGAGAGCGCTGTACATTCCCTCCCCCCACCTACAATCCCTGCCGGTATAAGACTCGAACCCACAACTTTTGGGTTATGAATCCGACTCTCTAACCATTAGGCCACGACTTCCCCCCCATTTGAAGACAAGTAAGAGATGGAAATGCAGCCAGCATATTCATTTTTACATGAGTGGCCTGTTTTGTCCTCATACTGCTTCTGGTATTACATATCTACTGTTCATCTATGCAATGTGCGGTTTACAAACCCACGCTGAATTATCACACCCTTCTTCTCTCATTGCTCACATGACAACCTACCTTACCAGGTGATGAACTGTCATTGATCTGTAAAGATGGCATAGTGCTGTGCGTTGCTGTGGTGTACAGGCTGGTAGGATGAGCGTGGTGGGCCAGCGCTTCAGGGGAAACAGCGCTGTAGGTAGGGGGTACAGGTGCCATCTGCCTCTGCAGCAACTGTAGGATCACATTTATATCAGCTGTTATCCTGGTCTCCAGTCTTTAAAGAGAGAGAGAGAGAGAGAGAGAGAGAGAGTAGAGTTATAAGGCAAATGCAGACTTTGCACTATTTTTTTTCCCTCTGGATATCGGACCTGTTGAGTTGCGACTGCAGCAGCTCCAGACGGGCCTGCAGTTGACTCGGTCTGTCCTCAACACAGGGGCTGTGATGGTGGTAGCAGGCCTGCACTGCAGAGGAACGTCTCTGACTCTCTGAGTACTGACTGGCCCTGCGGTCGGGCAAATAGCTGTACAACCCCGACACGTTCAGAGGAGTCGCTGTATGGATGAAGAATGAGTGGAAAGATCAAGAGGAACAGAAAGATACAGAATAATGGACAGGTTAAAGATGGAGAAGACTAAAATGATTATAAAATCTCACAAACATGCAGATAAAAAAGAAACAGTAGCTGAACACCAATTTGCATACTTTCACCAATTACAAAATGTACATACTGGCTGGTTATACTTGGCGTGAAATTCAAATTCATCCTGTCTACGTTCGAAATGCATGTCATGCATCTTATGTTTGTATGTGTTTATATGATTAAACCTTTGCAATTTAACATTGCAATTTTTAATCAAAATGTTACAACTGTATCTTCCGGTGAAATGACAGACTTCTCTTTGGTGATGTATATGCCAGATTTTTTCCAATCATTTAATCCACTTAAGCTCCTTTCCTCCACGTCTTTGTCAGGGCATATTATACAACCCAGGCTAATTGGAAAAACGTGCCTCTATACCTATATTTCTGCAAAACTCCAAAAACGTATCTATACATACAGTTTGCTGCAGTTCCACTTGAAATGAACACTTGTGGCAGTAAAGCACCAATAATCTTTATATGTTCTAATTAAGGGGCAGATTGTCAATTAATGAAGGTGAAATTTTCATTTTTGCATGGTTCCTTGCACAATACTGTGATATCAGCTCTAAAAAAACTTATAGTGCATGAATATGTAAAACATTGTAACATTCGCATCGCATAGTCAGCTCCATATGTATGGCTTTTCTGACATAGTAAACTTGCTCAGTAGCACACCTGGCACAACGCTGCAATTGCGATGCAGAGCGCTTGGGTACAAATCCCATAAAACACGGTTTAACAAAAAAGTTCAAAGGTTCAATAAGTGCATGAACCAACATTAAAAAAAAGTACATTTATGTTAGAAAACTAAACACTTTTTTAAGCAGCACTCACTGGACATTTCACTTTTAAACTGCTGCAAAAC